CAGTGTCTTGCTCCAAATGTTTCAGTGGGAATTTGTGTAAATTCTCAACTAGTACAGGGCTCCTGAATTTGTAGAGGGCTGGGTAAAGCTCATGTAGATCCGCGGATTTATTCACCTACCGGTGAGGTATCTAAGAATTCCGGCCGAAAGGATTGTTTTTTAAAATGGTCAGCTCAGCGCACCAAAGATGTTGCCAAGTTATGGACATGCTGTTCACTATCGTCACTTATGGCTTCACTAACACCATGTTTCCTCCTGACTGTTTCTCGTATCAGAGGGAGCAAATTCCGATGCTTACCAAGGTCGGTGACCATCTCCATCTTTGGCACCTAATGAGAGCTCTAGAATTCTCGGCATGTCTCAGGCCAACGCGGACTTTTACCTGACGTCTTTACGAGTCTCGTTATCTTTGTTTCCAGCCAGAATCTACTGGAGAGCATCGATAATTTCATGTGACTGCGAAGAAACCAAATACCCGCTTTGGCTAGTGGATTTATGATGATTTACCTGCTTCTAGTAAGGTCTGGTGAATATGCAACCAAGGACATCTGTCTGTATTCAGTGAGCATTTGCTCAAGAGTAATGCCGCATAATTCGTTACGTACTCAGAACGCCTGGCATTGCCAGTTTGCTGGTGGCTATGTGCTTACAGCGTCGTCCAGAGCGAGCGCATATACACACCCGCAGATCAGCACATATAAGTGAATTTTCAGTGTCCACATATATGCTCTAAACCGAGTGACAGATTTGGTAGCAGACTCACCAGCGATAGCTGATCGCTATGTGATCGATTTGGGTTTGTGGCTGTTTCGATGCTGGTGGGCGCTATATCACCTTCCGACGGTTGATGTATCGGTAGTTATTGCTCAAATGGAATAAGCGAGCATTTTCACACAAACGAAGTATCGGGTCAAAATTATCTTTACAGGAGCCACCGCCATGTTGGTCATCCAGAGGCAGCGTATCAGTGTATACATTCCAAACTTCTGCGTTCAGATCCTTAGAGACTTAACGGTGTCCGTGCTTCTACTGTGGCGAAGGAATTTGTTCACTTGACGATAAAGTCGTCATCTACGTAGATTATCTGCGTTGTTACGGTTACTGTGTAATCTTCACGATTTATGTTTCGTGTCACTGGAGTTATTATTCATATCACCACAGAATATTGCAGTTTCTCTTGTTCAACATATATTTCTGCCGTCATCTGGATGATCCTAAAAGCAGAGCTTCGGAGTGAGGTAGGTTTGTTGTACTGGCACAACGCCAATTTTATGAGCAAGAAGGAAAACATGGTTGTTTAGAAACTGAGATCATTTTTTATCCAAGTAATAACAGGTAGAAAGGCTAACCATAAGAAAATGACAGACCCTGTTTAAAACCATTTTTGGAAAAACACGGTGAATGAACTGAAGTCCAACAGCTTCTTTTAAGTGACACCACCCCTTGAATATAGTCGCGGCAAAATGACACGCATATAGTCCGTTAAATTAAATTTAGGTAGCTGAAAAATAGTATTTCTGCAGCACACTACAAGTGATTTAACCACTTGAACAATCAAATCCACTTAAGTACACTGTCTAGGTATATACTATTAATCTCCATGCAATCCAATCAATGCTGGTTGGCTTTTAACAAAATGGGTCTGACATGCTTAGTGTAGGTCATCCGGTCTTTAGCTTTGACAGCTTTTCTCAATCAAATGTTAATATATTTTCACCGCGGCAACTGAATCATTTGGCTTGATTTTCGCTTTCCGAATGCAGAGCATTTTCACAGGTACAAATACAAGTCTGCGATTTCCCTGATCGATTTTCAAGTGCGCTTTGCTTTTCCCACATTTTCAAGCTAAAACTGGCAATTTGCTTTTCTTGACGTGTTGGTATGCTACACCGTTAACCGTATTCGTAAACTTCAACGGCATTAACCGATTACTAGCAAATAATTAGGGGTCGCCTATACAACAAATCCTACGTAGTGCAGTAATGCGAATCGGAAATTCTTCAAAACTTTAGCTTACATATTTGTTCAACGGACATGGTGATACTCACTGTATGGAGGAGGAAAAAGAAAGCATGATTAAATGCAAGTGCAAAATGCAACTGCGAATCTTAAGTGATTGTTGCAAATTTGCACGATTACCATTCGTAAATTTTGTTTATCTATTTACTTGGGAATGTATGTATGATATTTGAAAAATATTGTACGTATGAATTTAGTTCATACATTTGCAAAATAACACAGGTCTTACATGTTTTTTTATATTCTAAAATATTTCAGTGTAAAGGAACAACGGTAAACATACAAACACATGTTGTATATATGTCTTATTTATAATAATCTGCAACAACATGTGCTATTTGTTATTAGATAACAACTAGTTTTTCCTTCGCAGTTACAATGCAATGGTAATATTCTGTTCTACTACATTTCCAAACTTTTCTGATGAAACGGTTTGCGATAGTATTCCATTTTCCAGTGCCAATTTCATATTATTGTTTAATAAATCGACAACCTTGGAGGCACGACAAACTGCATTAATGTTAAATTGCCTTCATTATAATGTGCATTAACGATGGTCAACAAATTATGTCAAATGACACAAATTTGTTTACTTTAAGCTACATGTCCCTGGATAAGAGGAATGTTTGAAAATGTTTTGTGACGAAACTAAATTCAAAAGTTAGAACATTCCGGGCACCAAGTTGCGTACATCAATTACATATGTGTAAAATGTTGGGTAACAACTTAGGTATCATCTATTTAATCGAATAACAGGATTAAGAGAGTAAAGTGCATCAATAGCCACTCACGAATCTGCGACGGCGGGGCTATATATGAATAATAGAC